TTTTTATAAGAATAAAATTAACAAAGAACCTTGTAACACTAAATTATTGACATCTTTACATATACCATGTTAGCTGATTTGTTTCCAGAATTCTACTAGGTCAGGATAAATTAATATTGCTCTTGCAATTATGCTCAATTGCTTGTTGTTTTAAATCCATCATTGGGCTGGATACTCTTTACAATTAAGTATTAAGTATTTGCATTTCTATTTGGTAATCAATTGAGTCATCAAATGGGATAATTGGTTTTGGGGAGAAAGGTATGAATTTTTATTTAATATAAGATCATTTATTTTTTCAAGATTTTCAATTAATTTTTTTTGGAACCAAGTCTATGGCTAATGGTCCTCCAGTCAAAAATGAAACGTTTCAATATCATTTCCTTTCAAAGGAAAACTTTCTCTATACTGCAATTTGGCTTCTTTTAACAAAACTACAAATACCACTACTGGAATATTTGAGGCTCAAGGATTCCTATAATATTTTCGAAAAGCTTCAGATATTCCTTGATCCATGTTGTTATTATTGCTGTTGTTGTTGTTGGTGCTGATGTCATTTTGTATTTTTAATTCAACTAAACTATCGTCGGTTTTTCCGAATTGTAATAATAATCGTTGCACGAGATATCTGGATAAAATCACGTTTTCTTTGATAAGAAGATCAACTAATTCTAATGATATAAAGTTATTATAGAGAATCGCGTAAAAAAACGAATGTGCTTTGCCGTGGTTTTTAATGATCCAGTTTGCTCTTACTTTGGGATCTTTTGATATTTTATACCACGATTTATCAGTTAAAATGAGCGAAAATGTGAATTTTGTATTTTTAAATATTAATTTTTTTATTTCTTCATTCATTTTTTTCTCTCAATTGAGAGAAAAAAAAAATAGAGCGTTTATATAAATACACATCTAAAATCGATAAATCGAACATTTATTTATATTATAAAGTACTTTAAACAATTGATTGCTGCGTCTGACTTATCGAGTTTAGATTTGTATGCAAAATAACGATTTTAATTTAATTAATACTAAATGATATCATCAAAATATAGGAAAATGAATATTGAACCGTTTTTTTATTGTAAAAAAATAATAATAGTAATGATACATTAAGGGGTTAAGGATAATAAGTTTTACCACGGATTGTTCATACAATTGGAAAAGAATCCTTTGCCATAATTCAATAAAAAGGGCACTGTTTATTGTTAGCAAGTGTCTATTCGCCACTACTATCTTTTTTTTTGTCGTGGAATTTTTGAAAAACGTATAGAATCTGAATACAACAATTTCAATAAACTCCTCATCAACTTGATTTTCAATGTCAAACTATAAATCAAGTCGTGCCCCAAACAGAGGAGCCATATAATTTAATAATTTATATTTATCATTTATAACTTTATAATCATAAAAAGAAAAAATACGAAACAGGACTATATATCAATATCCAAAAAACTGTAGTGAAAACCTCGGGCAAAAATTCAAAGAACGAAGAACATCCAAAAAAGTGAGTGGTCGGGTTTTTTTATTTATTATAAATTATACAATTTAGAATATAAAAAAGTATTGTGGTACAAATGTAAAATCTTTTTATTTAACGTATATTATAAATATTTGGGAAACGAATCATAGGATACGAAATATTGGTTTTTATAGTTGAAATTATTATACATGAATAGATAAAATTAAAGGATTTAATAATTAAAGCTTCAAAAATAAAATTATTCGATAAATTAAAATGTCTCAAGTATCTAATACGTTGAAATAAATCCTCAATCCAGACATAAACCTGTGACTAGTCCTGAACTTGAACCGGTTCTTAAAGAATTTATGAACACTTTGAGTGTTATAATCGAGGAATTATTTTTATCGGTGCTACAGGCACAGTCTCATTGAAAAAACAATATAACTATATAAATGAAACAATCATAACATTTAATGCATGCTTTGTGTTTAATTATCAATCTGAAGATTTTATATAAATTCCAATATTCGAAAGCATTGTTAGAAAAAAGATTATTGTCCACTCTTATTTATTATTGCCATTACCATTTTCATCGTTTTGTCATCATCATCGCGTTTCCTAAAGAAATTTATTATTTATTACATCGGGTATTTGATCCGGTAATTGCAAGATAGTTTATTTAGAAAGGAGGTGGTTGGTTGATGTGATTCACATCAAAAAAGTAATATTTTTGTTTGCGAAGATCCTTCTCATTCATTAATTAATCGGAAAAGCCATAGTTCTTTATTTATCAAAGAAATTAATAGTTTTATTAATCGAAAAAGTAATGGTTTATTGTTTGCTAAGATAATTGATTGAAAAGTAATTATTTGCTAAGATCTCTTTCATTAATTGATCAAAAATGTAATAGTTCTTAAAATATGATCGGTATAATAGTAATAGATAATAATGCATTTTTCGTCTTCATGACAAAAAAAAAGATATATATTGATTTTTTCTTATTATTGTAAATAATTATTAAATTCATGTTGGTTTCAACATGGAAGAAGGTAGCAGAGAAAATCAAGCAAAGTTAAAAGACTAGCAAAAGAAAAAAACGGAAGGCTGTCGGGTGTCATTGAAAGTAGAAAGGCTTTACGACCTTGGAAAAAAATAAATTATATTCATCTGTAAGCTAATTTTACACACACAAAAAAAAAAAAAATGAATATTTGCAATTTAACATAGGAAATTCCTTCCCCAAAAATCAAGTTTAACAAAAGTTGAACTTCAACGTCTCCTCAACATCAACATCGACATGCTATGTTGACTTCTCTCTTCCCTTCCCGGCATGATCGCATCATGATCAATAGAGAGTATTTATCACAACGCAACCAACTTCGTGAAACTGCGATCTCCTTTTTATAGATAAAATTACCAAAAGACATTATTTAAAAAAAAATCAACAATTAATCCTGAAATGAGATTGAATGTTGTTTCGCCGGATTGATTTTGTTGTTTTCTTATGTTAAAATGTTTTAGTATTAAAATTACAGTCATTATCATTATTTTCTTCGTCGTTGTCATCAAGTTTTCTTTTTTAAACCACAAGTTAATTACCTGTTTGAAGAGAACATGATTTACTTAGATCGCCTGACACCATTATAAATACTTTGGTCTCAAGATACCACTTCTTTCTGCGCTCACGTGTAAAAATCATTCTCAAGAGGCTGGATGAGATTTTTTATAATTAAGCATTTTATTTAACCATTCTTTCCTGGATTGAGCATAAATCCAAATTTCGGAATTAAGATACTACAACATTTACATTTAGAAAAATAGATGTTAAATAGCGCAACGTCCCGCAATTGGTCCATCAGGAAATTCAATTTACGCTACGGGATCTGCCATAATTATTAGATTAGATAAGTTCTATATGTAAATATTAACAGGGTTTGTAAGCTTTACAAAAGCATGTTTGTAAGTTTTACAAAATATTACGTGAGTTTGTGCTAAATAAAGCTGGCTGCGCAACTCAAATGAACACTTGGCTAAACTGACTAAACTATTACTACTTAGTCATATGTTAGTCAAGTTTAGTCAATAAAATTTTTACCAAATCAGGATTCTAATGAATATTTGCAATTTAACATAGGAAATTCCTTCCCCAAAAATCAAGTTTAACAAAAGTTGAACTTCAACGTCTCCTCAACATCAACATCGACATGCTATGTTGACTTCTCTCTTCCCTTCCCGGCATGATCGCATCATGATCAATAGAGAGTATTTATCACAACGCAACCAACTTCGTGAAACTGCGATCTCCTTTTTATAGATAAAATTACCAAAAGACATTATTTAAAAAAAAATCAACAATTAATCCTGAAATGAGATTGAATGTTGTTTCGCCGGATTGATTTTGTTGTTTTCTTATGTTAAAATGTTTTAGTATTAAAATTACAGTCATTATCATTATTTTCTTCGTCGTTGTCATCAAGTTTTCTTTTTTAAACCACAAGTTAATTACCTGTTTGAAGAGAACATGATTTACTTAGATCGCCTGACACCATTATAAATACTTTGGTCTCAAGATACCACTTCTTTCTGCGCTCACGTGTAAAAATCATTCTCAAGAGGCTGGATGAGATTTTTTATAATTAAGCATTTTATTTAACCATTCTTTCCTGGATTGAGCATAAATCCAAATTTCGGAATTAAGATACTACAACATTTACATTTAGAAAAATAGATGTTAAATAGCGCAACGTCCCGCAATTGGTCCATCAGGAAATTCAATTTACGCTACGGGATCTGCCATAATTATTAGATTAGATAAGTTCTATATGTAAATATTAACAGGGTTTGTAAGCTTTACAAAAGCATGTTTGTAAGTTTTACAAAATATTACGTGAGTTTGTGCTAAATAAAGCTGGCTGCGCAACTCAAATGAACACTTGGCTAAACTGACTAAACTATTACTACTTAGTCATATGTTAGTCAAGTTTAGTCAATAAAATTTTTACCAAATCAGGATTCTAGCCTTTTACGTTGCCAGCCCTGTGATTGGAGTTGTAGGAGATTGCGGGAAATTGTAGGTGACCATTAGCATGAGCTAATATAAACTTCAAGTAAAAATTTATTTATTTTATTTCCTGGTTCCCATTGGTGTTAGTTTCCAAGGCTAGAGTTTTTCAACTGTGTGAAAGTCAAAAGGCTTCACCATAAGTCGAAATTAGTTTTGACATATAACTTTTAATTTTTGTTTTGACTTTTGCCTCTTCAAAATAGTTTTAAGACCAACACTAGTTCTTATACAAAAAATGTCAGGGTTAGACATGATTATAAAAAGCAAAATAATTAGTTATTGAATCAAGAATTGGGGCTATGGTGATATTTTGTTAAATTGAAGTATAGTGTAATCATCAAAGCATTCAAGTTTATATTGCTAATGGCAAATTAATAGTAGTGTGATATTTAGAAAGTATGCAGTCATAAAAGACTATCGTGGAGCAAAATAATATTATTTATTTCGCATAAATTTAACAGAATAAAAAGTTTATTGCGTTTTTCTTAAATTATCAAGGTACCTTGCTAATATGACAATAAGAGTAATTTTTAAGTGTGTGGTCATTGCATATTAATATGACCAATTTTTAAATTTTTTCGAAAAATCAAATTTTATTGTTGATAATAATAATATATAATGATAATTGCTTAACCCAAAAAATATAAAATATAAAAATATAAACAGTAATAGTAATACTTAAAAAATAAATAGTATTAGTAGAAATGATTGATTTCACCAATGTTGTTATTTAAAATCGATTTGCTTATTAACATTGATATCAACACATCAGTTATTATTGTTATCCAGCAATTTATTTACGACATTTTGGGTAGGAACGTTTGATCTTTAGTCAAATTGTTGACGATGGTAGAGTTTTGATGATTAGTGAAATTATTTTGACCAACAAAATAGCTGTCAACAAAATTTTGATGATTAATGCTCGTAATATTACTTGAGTTCTGTTCAGCGATGAAATTGTTTTGTGGATTATAAATCATCTTTTGACACATGTAATTCTCATCACCAGCATTTTGATAAACGTCCTCACGCTTATGATTTTGATGAACCATGTTTTGGCGAACGTAATTATTATTATGATAAATTTCTCCAGGGTTTTGATGAATTAGATAATCATGAATTATGTTTTGTTGATGAGCGTAATTATTGTCACTGACATTTTGATAAATGTCTTCTGGGTTTTGATAAATTGTATTATGAGCCATGTGTTGGTGAACGTAGTTATTATTATAATAAATTTCTCCAGGATTTTGATGAATAAAATTGTGAATCATGTTTTGATGAGCGTAATTATTGTCACCGAAATTTTGATAAATATCTTCAGAATTTTGATAAATTGTATTATGAACCATGTTTTGGCGAACGTAATTATTATGATAAATTTCTTCATGGTTTTGGTTTTGATGAATAAGATAATTATGAATCATGTTTTGATGAGCGTAATTATTATCACCGATATCTTGATAAATGTCTTCTGGGTTTTGATAAATTGTATTATGAACCATGTTTTGGCGAACGCAATTATTATTATGATAAATTTCTCCAGGATTTTGATGAACAAGATAATTATGAATCATGTTTTGATGAGCATAATTATTGTCACCGAAATTTTGATAAATGCCTTCTTGGTTTTGATAAATAGTATTATGAACCATGTTTTGGCGAACGTACTTATCATTATGATAAATGTCTTCATGGCTTTGGTTTTGATGAATAAGATAATTATGAATCATGTTTTGTTGAGCGTAATTATTATCACCGACATTTTGATAAATTGTATTATGAACCACGTTTTGGCGAACGTAATTATTATGATAAATTTCTTCATGGTTTTGGTTTTGATGAATAAGATAATTATGAATTATGTTTTGTTGATGAACGTAATTATTGTCATCGACATTTTGATAAATGTCTTCAGAGTTTTGATAAATTGTATTATTAGGAGTCGGGTATTGATTAGTGATACTCGTTGTTTGTATTTGCTCATTAGAATTAAAACCGTTATCATCGGAGTTATTATTATTATCATCCATTTTTGATTTTTTTGATTTTTTATTATAATTTTATTTTGTTTTTTTAAAAAAATAATTTTTTTCGCCTGTTTGAACAATCATCTTTTTTATATGTTTAAAATATTTTTTATAAAAGCGTGAAAAATTTTCTAAAAAATATTTATTGTCGGACAACTGATTGTTTTCAAAATATTATTGATATATATTTGAAAAATTATAACCGCAATTGGATGGATAGTTACACACTTCATTTTTATTATATATATAGTTTATCGTTAGCAAGTGTCTATTCGTCACTACTACCTTTTTTTTTTGTTGTGGACTTTTTGAAAACCGTATAGAATCTGAATGCAACAATTTCAATAAACTCCTCATCAACTTGATTTTTCAATGTCAAACTATAAATCAAGTCGTGCCCCAAACAGAGGGGTCATATAATTTAACAATTTATATTTATCATTTATAACTTTATAATCATAAAAAGAAAAATACAGAACAGGACTATATATCAATATCCAAAAAACTGTAGTGAAAATCTCGGGCAAAAATTCAAAAGAACGAAGAGATCGGGTTTTTTATTTATTATAAATTAACTAATTAGGATAAAAGATTGTTGTACAAAATTATTTAATATATAAAAATGTGGCACTAGTTTTTATTATAAATATACAAAAAAAGCATTTTCATTCAAGTTTGGAAATCTCAAAATGGAAAAAATATTGCAATTTGGAAAATTTAAATTAACAAATAAACAAATAAAGTATAAATATTTGGGAAGCGCATCATATAATAATAAATATGTTGTTTTTATAGAAATTATTATAGATTATAGATAAATTAAAGGATTTGATAATTAAAGCTTCAAAAATAAAATTATTCGATAAATTAAAATGTCTCGAGTATCTAATACGCCGAAAATAAATATTTGGTACTAAAGTTATCAATCCTGTGACCAGTCCTGAACTTGAACCGGTTCTTAAGGAATTATTTTTTATTGGTACTACGGACACAGTCTCACTTGGCGAATAAAACCAACATAACTATATAAATGAAACAATCATAACATTTAATACATGCTTTGCTTTTAATAGTAACTTTTGATTACCAATCTGATTATTTATATAAATATCCGATAATCGAAAATATTGTTCTTCTTATTTATTATTGTATTGTCATTGCCATTTTCATCGTTTTGTCATCATCATCGCGTTTCCTAAAGAAAATTATTATTTATTACATCGGTATTTGATCCGGTAACTGCAGGATTGTTCATTTAGAAAGGAAGGGATTGGTTGATGTGGTTCACATCAAAAAAGTAATATTTTTGTTTGCGAAGATCCTTCTCGTTCATTAATTAATCGGAAAAGCCAGTTCTTTATTTATCAAAGAAATTAATAGTTTTATTGATCGAAAAAGTAATGGTTTATTGTTTGCAAAGATAATTGATTGAAAAAGTAATTATTTGCTAAGATCTCTTTCATTAATTGATCAAAAATGTAATAGTTCTTATAATAATGCATTTTTCTGTTCCACGTTGTACCAATTTTTCATTTTTTTATTATTTAGGTTTATTATCAGTTTCTAAATATGGTTTCTCAATTAATTGCAACTAGTTTCAACAAGCTTTTAAACGAAAACATGACAGCGAGCTTCGTGTCTTTTACTCGCACAACGACATTACTCAGGGTCAAGACAATAATTGTCTATTTTATCAATTCAAAAAATACAAATAGGACGGCCGTCCCCACATTTTTTTTTCGTTTTTTTTTTGTAGAGAAATTCCTCTCAGGCCATTTCAGCGCACGGAACTCAACTTTCTACGACGTCCCTGTCCATCTTCAAGCAATCAAGTTTACAGACGATGAGCACATTCAAACCACGAAATCATTTATCATCATACAACGTTATGCAAGATCGTCTAAAAATAAAAATACCACTGCGCCAAGTGTTTCATAGCATCACAATAACAAAAATACACGATTCAATTGATTCAATCATTTATTACATATAACAGGAGAGAC